GACGAGTCCTTGAAGGACGAAACAGCTGTATGATGTAACATAACTGACGAGTCCTTGAAGGACGAAACAGCTGTATGATGTAACATCACCGACGAGTCCTTGAAGGACGAAACAGCTGTATGATGTAGCATCAACAGTATGATGCAGTTTAATTAATTACTTGGCTCTACTGTATCTAACTCTAAATCATTAAACGGTGTTGTTCACATGTGTGTCTGTTCTATCTTGAAGCGAATCAAGTATCATGGTACAAGGGTGCAGCAAAATCTTGAGCAAACGTGTCCGGTATACAGTTATCACCAAGTTTTTCAATTAATTTATCCTTGGGCTTTAGTAAATGTCACTTCTGTAATAAATTCTGCAGTGTTTTTCATTGGCTGCACCAGTTAGAAATCTATTGATTGTAATGTCATAGTGCCTACTGGCAACGTCATAATTTAAAATGGCACAACAATATGGCTGCACCTTTTTATTTTGTCCTGTATATTTTGACTTTAAAACTTGTCAACATGTCGCTTGTTTTTTAGGTGATAAAAAGTATCGTAAGTCTGTTTTAATCTAAAATGTGACTTGATGAAACTAGAAATGTTAACTTTTCAATGCTTTAGAACGATTTGATAGATAATCTAAAACATTTTTAAAACTCTTTTTGTCATTTCTAGAAACACATTATCTCTAAGGTTCATACGAAATATGTTTTATCATGTTACTCGAAAGTAAAATAAGAAATCAAAGTGTATCTCTCTCGGTCCACATTTCTGTGTCGTCTACATGTAGTTATGATGGACGCTCTCTGCACTTTAGTCCTAAACTTAGACCAGAAATGTAAATTATATTTCAAATGATCATAATTAGAAAAAACATTGTCTACCTTAATAATATTTGAGCTTGTACTGAAAATTAAGTCATTGATGTCATTTAATGTACATCAGGCATTCACGGTAGAAAAGGATATTCTTTATGACACTGGGTCTAGTTTCGGCACATAATAACTATTTATTGGATAACAATAAATACGATTTCTTCACACCTCGCTACCAAAGTTAGGGGGAAGTATAACCTACGCACTCACGTATAAACCTTGACATGGATGTGTAATCCATAAAGCACGCACCAATACAGTAGTTAATGTCCAGCTATAACGATCACTGTGTAACAGACGGTAAATGTCTGACAATTATGATCACAATAAAATTCAATGTTGAATATAAGACAATACAACATAAAAGTATTACTTAATGGTCGTTTCTAAATACTCATTATTTGTAAAACAAATGAACCTATTAAGATGTTTTCGTTTGAAATTGACACATCAGATGCATGTTTGAAAATCAAAATATCAATTACCATATAATGATCAATGGAAATCCTTTATGAGTAATTGTAACAACACTAGACCACACAAGCGCTGGCCCTTTTGAACTCACTGGACTCGCAAACCAGATAGATGTCAGTTGTTAACAAATTACAAAGGATACGATCCCGTCATATTTGTTTGTTTCGGTGTGAAACATATTTTATGATGTAAGAGAGTTTTCGTAGGTTGTACATTCCTTCATTCTATACACATTTCTTTGTTGTTCAAAATTATTCAGTAAACTCGTATTAATTGTAGACTGAACGTATTTCAATTGACTCATTCTCACTATATCTGGAATAAATTTCTAAATTGAAGCAACGTCTTCGTTTTCTTGTTATGAGAAGTTTTTTCCTCCATAAAAAAGTGAACGGTAGTATAGGTATGTTGTTGTGAACTATGCTGAAGTGTATTTCGTAACATGTACGTCCAAATTCAAAGAAATGTACGGAGAACGGAATGATGAATGTGATCGCTTTTCTGATTTTTCAATATCTTCGTCGGTTTTCGTGGTAAGATATCTCAATAAACAATATTGGCATACCTATTGGATGTAACTGTTTTTGTTTCATACGAGGATGAATTTATCAAAGAGCTTATCAAACCAGGTGACAAGGACATTGCAATGTAGTTTATGTTCACTTTCAGATATATTGCTGACGATAACAATAAATTTATTGACCACGTCCATCGTATATAATTCAAGAATAGGAAATCAAAGACACGATAGCTCTTCTACATCAGCCGCTTATCTCGATCTTTTCTTCAACGAAACCAATACCAAGCTGTATTCAGGACGTGATGATTTCAATTTCCGTATTATGACTTTTCCATTTCTGATAGCAACATCCCTGCATCCCTGACCTATGTTATGTACATAACGGTCGCAGTTAATTTGATATTCAAGGGCCTGCTCACATGTTCAGGACTTTCGTGCAGGAAGTCCTCAACTGACGGCTACATCTCTAACGAATGGATTAAAAAAATGCAGGTTGATGAAAATTATTGGGACGATTTACGGTCGTCATAGTGATCTCATTGAGAAATATTCTTTTTTCATGTGTGAAATAAAGTTGGCCGTTTGTCTGCCTGTTGGTTATGTTGTTGTTTATTTAGTTCTTATCACAGAACGTGTCATTGCAATCTTGGATTTAACAAAGTTTACATGGCGAGTGTCGTCGATGAAACAGAAGACGCGTACTCTTCAGGAATACCTGGTCTTATTATCTGTTTTCAGGAGTCTCCATGTAAAGTTTTCTTTTATTCATCTTTTGCCTTCTGGGGCATAATTACAACATAAAACAATGAAACTTTTATAGAAAAAGTGTTTTTATTATTGTATTTCTGTGTAACAGTAAATGAAACGTTCAGCTATGCTCACGCTCTATCTCTCTCTCGTTCACAATAATATATCTATATGTAATTTCTTACACCAGCCTTTTTATGAGCGCTACCATTGTTCTGTAAGTTATTTTGACTTGCTCCAGAAAATATTTTTTGTTTATCACTGTACCTAACTGAGTTATATATGAAACACGATAGAGCCGTCTTCCGTCACTGTAGAGGCAGCAACCGTCCATATTGGTTTACAGCAACGTTTATGTCTAAAGGAGTAATGGAGATGTCCGAGCTGTGTGGAAATCTCTCGCGCCTGGACTAACTTTGCTGTGAAATATCTTTTGAATTTACAGGTTTATTCTGATTTCAAATACGTTTTGTTATACAAAGATATAACTATTTGTAGATATATCAATCCAATATAATTTATTCTTACCACGCAATCAAACGGATGTAAGCGGCAAGTTGACTTTTAAGGGTTTCTTTAATCTTTTACCAGTAGAGTGTTACAATTTTCGTATTATGATGATATATTGTTTATAAAATCGACATTATACTAATCATGACCCTTCATAGTCGCAAGGAGAAAAAAGTTGATAGAAACATATATACACAAAATATACATCTAAATATATACATTTGTATTAAAACTTATATTTGAAAAGTTCGCGCGGCTGTTTAAATGGGCGTTTTACTCGATTGATATTTCGGAGCTTAATGTTTCCATATCTTGAAGGAACTTGCGATGAAAGTCCCTGCGCTTACCGCGAAAATTAATAGATCGCAATAAATAGAAGATTTACAGTGTGCAATTTCTTTATCATTGTTACAGTATGTCATCAATTGATAATCACGTGACTACTTTGCTAATATTAGACCCGACTTTTGGGTGTAGTTTACGCAGAAATTATCTTATTATATAACATACAATCATGTACCAATATGACAAAGACAACAACAGACATTTCCTAATATAGGTAATGCTGATTTGTAGGTCAATATACTTTTACTCTATGAATATACCGGTTCTGGACGTTCGGAACATTTGGTAATGGTAAGCTGGTGCATGCTGGTGCAGCAAGACTTCTCGAAAGGGAGACAACTTCAAAGAGATATTACAATAGGTATGAGAAGCATTCTGTCTAGTGTCATAGCGTATTCACTGTATAGGTGATATTTATAACATAGTGAGACGCTAGTATCTCAAAACGATATTTCTGTGTGAAATAATCAAGTGGCAGAGAGCAAAAATAATCATAGTTGATATATTCCATGTAGAGTGGTCAATTAGTATTACTTGTGACAATTCTATTATTCTCCAAATATCAAAATACATGCTGAAAAATTGTAAGATATGGTTTTACACAAATAACTCTTTCCACGAGAAATAAAATTGAATTAGTGATCTTTGTATTTAAAAAGTGGTAATTATAATCTCTTAGACAACATCTTCTTTACCGGGTTCATCTCGACCTAATCCCCACCATATCGTGGCTATTAGGTCGATCAGGCATCACAAATAGGTTTATTTCTATTTCTATTACAATACAAGTACCCTTTTAGAACCTGCAGTCATGTCACTGTGTAAACACACTAATGCATTCACCTCTTGTTATCGTCACTCTGTTATTTACAAATTTATTCAATTTACCCTTACGACCATAGATATATGTGCTTTGTTTGTATTCATATATATAAACGAAAATTTTTATTTCAAAATTTTAGCTATATTTGCTACAGTGAAATATTCAAATCCCTTCCTCGTTAGTATACAATTATCATTTTCTATTGGGACATAAGCAAATCAATTGTAAAGCTACCTTATTATAGTTTCAGCTTCTTAGATTAATTTTGTCCGACATGTTTATGTTTCTACGTCGAAACCTTCGGAACAAATACAATGCTTTAATACCAAAAACAAGAGAAAAATCTAAAACATGTTTTTCATCTATTAATGTGTTACATAATTTTGAATGAATTTGAGGTTTTATTTTAATCATGTTTGCATTGAACAAAAAAACAATAAAGACAAGCAAAATATATTCAAATATGAAAATATCCGGACTTATTTTAACTTAATATCTGGTGATGGATGCAAAATAATCATAGTTTAAACAATTGTTTAATTTACTAATAGTCTATGCAACAGCAGTTGTGTATCTCAATATTCTACATACATTAAGCGCCCACCGGACAAACACTTTCCCTGCCGTCGTTATTCTCTCCTTTTGAAGGGAGAACATCAAAAAATCCTTTTGGAGAAAAGGAAAATATATTGTTTAACCAACTAGATTTTATACTCTGATCAAGGTAGTTCCTCTCCTGGCTCCATTCCAAGTGATGGTAACGCCATTGCTGTTCCTGAAGCGAGAAAAGTGGAGGGCGGTGTAGTTGTAGGTGCCGACTTGATAACTATATTTGGAGCGCCATTGGTATGACGGAACCCGACCTGTACATTACTCCCTGCCTCTATGATGATTGGTGTATGGCTGCCACCTGTAACCGTTTTCCCTTCGTGTGCTGAACCACTGATACCACTGTCATGTTTACTGCTCAGTGTGGGCCCGGTCACGACAGATGGCGCTGTGACACCCATTCCACCAGCACTGCTACCACTACTTCCCATTATATTCTGTACGAGATTGTTCAGTAGCATAGCACCATCCTTGCCTCGGAATAAGCCGGTTAAATCTGGCAGTCCTGCTCCTTCAGGTGCAACACCACGGTTAATTCCTTCTCCGCCAACATTAAGTGTCCCGGATGACATTAGTGCTAAAAGGTTAGGAGAACTTGATGCCACCCCTAGTCCAGATAGAAGCATATCAGCAATATTAAAGTTTGAATTAGAACCAGACTGACCAAAATTATTCTGAACTGGTCTGAAATTATTTCGAGAAGGATTATTAGGAATATGTTCTCCTCTGTGAATCGCTACACCAGATGTAAATCCTTCTCCATGACCACCAGTATTACCGCTATGGCTTCCCAAGGATCCCCCGTTGGTGCTGCCAGAAACTCCATGTCCGCCGACGGAAATCCCATGTGCAATCATCGCCACTCCGTTCCCGCCCATCGAACCATCATGTCCTCTTGATCCTCCACGACTTAATGAATCCCTATTTCCGCTCAGTGAACCTCCATGACTAAATGAATCCCCAATTCCGCCTAGTGACCCTCCATGCCCTAATGAGCCTGTAGATGAGCCCTCATTTCCTGCCAATGGAGTTCCTTGTCCTAACTGATCACCATGTCCTCCTCCTATCAAGTTTTCGTGTCCTCCAAAGGAGCCTCCATGTCTATCAATGGTACCAAAATGTCTACCATTATTTCCTGAAAAAAAACAGAAATAAATTGTCTATAATTGATTAAAATTTCAACAGATATAGTCCTGTTAGTCTACTAATTAAACTCTTATAACTCTTTAAAAAGCGGGGATGGCATTGATTTATTATTGCTCAAGGAAATCTCGTTAGCAAGAAACAACAAGGAAATAACAACATGTCAACATGGCCATAATCAAAATTCAAATTCAATAAAACTAGGGCGAAATTCCAAAAATATTGCAAGGAGATTAAGACCAGGTGTTCCTAAAGATTACGAAATGGTAAATCAGCGATATTTAGCAAATCTTCACCTGATATTCTACTGCTGCCCGAATGTCCGTTTCCTATTCCGATATTGTTGGACACTCTGCGACCAGGACTCGACAATCCTCGGGCGGAGTTACCCAATCCCGCATTAAAATTACTTCTGCGGCCATTCCTGGGTACAGCAGAGGAAATCTGACTATGATTCCTCCTATATGGTCTGCGTTTTCTTGCGACCAGTGCACGCTGTCTGGTAGACGAGATCTCGACATTTCTCGGTGGGGACGAATTTTGAACACCGCCACTTCCACGATTAGAAATTGCAGTTTTATCGTTGTTCTGTGTTCCTATTGGTGACATGATGTTTGCAGTTTTGGCGATGATGATCGTTTGTTTGATGTGTTTTGTCGCCTCGTTTTTCGTATTCTTGATGGAAGTTGCGGTATTCATTCCTCCTCGCCTCCTCGACAACAGTCGCAACTGGGATCCTCTTCGACTTCCGGTAAATGGACGTCTAGCCCGCAATGACGAACGTGCAAGAGGTTTCCTCATCGCCTGCAGTCTACTACGACGTGGGTCATATCTATTTGTTCTCTGTAATTATAAAGAAAGCAACGATTAATATTAATTTTATTGTACACATAAACAAAGAATATCCAGGCGGCTGTAATATTAACCTGTCCTTTAAGTAATGCTAGCGAGCTTAAACTTCGTCATGTAAAAACTCTCAGCATTATTCTTTCAATATGATCATCCGATTATCAATGATCACGTCATCGAGCTTTAGTTAATCCTGTAAACACTCAAATCCATTTGGAACACGAGTGAATGTCTGTACACAAGTGAATAGCGCTTCAATAGAGATTAAGAGTTAGATACAGTTAAGATAAATACAGATTAAAAATGAATCAAGCCGCAGTTTTGCAATTTCACATAATGATACTTTAGTGTTAACAGTGATACACATAAGGCGACGGCGGAAAATACAGACTGACGGAAAAATATTAAAGCTAGGCTGGCATGCACACTAGCCCCATAACGCAACATTTTTTGTGATTTCTTTATATCTATCACAGTCCCAAAGACGTTATAAAGGCAAAATGAAAATTGGCACTTTAAGTCGGAGAACGCTGAAAAAATACGTTATATTCCATATATTCATATTAAAAAGATTCTAATGCTAACTGAGATAGAGTTATTTAAGAATCTAAGTATGTACCAAGACTAGAGATCGATATACGTAAAGATTTATAGATTCTTAATGAGTACAACAATGAAATGTTAATAACGATACGAATCATCAAAAAACAATACATATGTCTCACTGACAAAACTTCCAATAAAATATCAATGTCCAGATCCCACACACATTGTAGAACAAGGTTTGTTTGACATTTGTCTTTTTATTGTTCTTCGTAAACTCAGGGTGACCCAAGAAACCATAGGTACAAATTGAAAGGTGTAGAACCGATGTCAGCCATTGAATTATAACGACTAGAGAGTCCGTCAATACACATGTACAGGTGTAAGGTAACGACTTCGTGTTGAAGGTTGTGTATTGTTAGCTTTAGAGACTACTTTAGTAGATACTTTATCAATTAGAAACATATGTTCCTTAATTACAACTTGTATTAATGAAAATACTGTGTGAACGTTCTATTGCTGCGATTACAAAAATAAAAAAAGAATAATTATGAAGATTTTTGGTAAATTCCGTTGTTCGGAAATGTTCGGTGAAGCTGACTGTGTAAGTGGACAGTGTCCACGCTACGTGTCGTCTTTCGTTTATGATTGGCACCTACTCATAGTGAGACTTGGTATATCCGTCAGAATGGTCAAGTTTATGATAAACCGACTGGACACTGAACAAATGTGAATCAAGCAATATGTCATGTTGTCAGTATGGTCAATCATATTAATACATTAGTACTTAATATTCTATATACTTATTTATGCATGGAGAAAGCACAAATGTGCTGAGATCTGCGCAATTTCTTTCTGTCAAAGGGTCGAGGAGTATCGTCATAGATCAAACACAATTTTAAAATCGAGTCAAAATTTTACGTTTTGAGGGATGTCGTCTGATTATTCTCCGTTCAATGAAAAGTTTCAAATATAAGAAAAAGTAAAAAAACAAAATTGAAGTCGAAATATACGGTAATAAGAATGAACATAATATATATATATGAACAATATATTAAAATTATCTGAGAAGGTATTAGAACAATATCGTGTGTTGATTGATAATGGTAAAAATGCGGCTGAAATCCACGCTTTGTAAACATGTCTCCTTTTTTCATTGCCAAGTGACTTTCCACCTGTATCATACCTGTGATATGACATCACGAAAAGTCACGGTAGGTGCATTGATATCTCTATGCGGAGTATTCAGATTGGTCACGTGACTTTCCGAGGTGGCCTTAGTGACATGGTATCGATTTGTGCCTGTTATATCTATATTACCATCAAATGTTTCCTAAAATATACAACTTCATTTACGCATGTTTTAATATTATCATTGTGAAATAATACGGCGGAAGTTTTCTCAGAAACCTTTTTTTGAATCACGTAACATTGTAAAATGAGGAGTAAATTTGGGGTTTAAATGGTGTTCTGAGTACCAGGAAAACAAATATAGAACATTATGCTCAAGGTGTTATATAGATACATATACCAAACATATCTTCATTTTCATGTTGAGTTGTGGATAATTTATTTACTTTTAAAAAATCAAATTCAATCATAAGTTTAATTCATTTATTGTCTCTACTGTATCATATTTGCCGTTCACGCGTTGGTCTTTTATACAAGTATTACAATATAATGTAATTGACTTTGTAAAGGAAATGGAAAGATGATCTCGTAAAACAAATCCATCAATAAAAAACATGTGACCGTTGATAAAGGCCATGTGACCGTTGATAATGGTCATGTGATCGTTGATAAAGGCCATGTGACCATTGATAAATTCCATGTAACCGTCGATAAAGGCCATGTGACCGTTGATAAAGGCCATGTGACCGTTGATAAAGACATGTGACTGTCGATAAAGACCAAGTGACCGTCGATGTGATATCGAAATATAATTTCGATAGAGGTGATTACTGGCATGCATTTGTCTTCACATGAACGCGCTCTATATGAACAAGAGAAAATAATGCGCCAAGGTTTTTATTTTTTGCATTTGTTTGAAGACTGCAATGAAAATTACTGTCCGTCTGATTAGCGAAGTGGTCTACCTGGTCAGTTAGGCACTGACCGCGGTTAGTTAAATTTGACACTTATTTAAGTGACACCTATCACTTGTATTTTAACAATTAACGTACATCGATGGCCATTTCTGTAAGTCAGTAAGGTTCTCGACTTTGTATGGAAAACCTCGGTTATATTTTGTATTGTCCATTATACCCGGCCGTCTACTCTCAAATTTATCTAGATTAAGTTTCCAATTTTCTAATGTTACTAAATCTTATTCTTCGTTTCCACTAAGACAAAATACCATTGAAAACTTTACGTTACATCTCTACAATATCCATTTATACTTGTTTAAAACCCAACATATACAGCTTGGGAGATGTTCATTTTTTACGTTCTAGTGGTTTAAGGTCATTTTATGTGGTCGATGAAGAAATTATGAGTGTTTTAACCCCGCCTTATGTATGATCATAAAACTTGTAACACATTTCATATGTGTTGTATAGTGTTTTGTGTTGTATAGTGTATTGTGTTGTGTATTGTGTTGTATAGTGTTTTGTGTTGTGTTGTGTATTGTGATGTATAGTGTATTGTGTTGTATAGTGTATTGTGTTGTGTATTGTGTTGTATAGTGTATTGTGTTGTATAGTGTATTGTGTTGTGTTGTGTATTGTGATGTATAGTGTATTGTGTTGTATAGTGTATTGTGTTGTATAGTATATTGTGATGTATAGTGTGTTGTATAGGGTATTGTGTTGTGTATTGTGTTGTATAGTGTATTGTGTTGTGTATTGTGTTGTATAGTGTATTGTATTGTATAGTGTATTATGTTGTATAGTGTATTGTGTTGTGTTGTGTATTGTGTTGTATAGTGTTTTGTGCTGTATAGTATATTGTGTTGTATAGTGTATTGTGTATTGTGTTGTATAGTGTATTGTGTTGTATAGTGTATTGTGTTGTGTTGTGTATTGTGTTTAGTGTATTGTGATGTATAGTGTATTGTGTTGTATAGTATGTTAAGATGTATAGTGTATTGTGTTGTATAGTGTATTGTGTTGTATAGTATATTGTGATGTATAGTATATTGTGTTGTATAGTGTATTGTGTTGTATAGTATATTGTGTTGTATAGGGTATTGTGTTGTATAGTATATTGTGATGTATAGTGTATTGTGTTGTATAGTATATTGTGATGTATAGTGTATTGTGTTGTATAGTGTATTGTGTTGTATAGTATATTGTGTTGTATAGTGTTTTGTGCTGTATAGTATATTGTGTGATAGCAGTCAGCATTAGATTTAGAGCAGAAGGTTAATACAGGAGAATCTAGGTGCATTTCTCCAACTATTAGAAAATGTTTGTAAAACAATACTTTCTATTCAACAAGGATAAAACTCTCAAGTGATTGTGATAAATAGTTATTGCCACCGTCAAATCATTGCACTGGATGGAACTATGTACTTATCTGATCTAGGTTTGTAATTACGACTACAGATGGACCTGTCATGTTTTATTGTAAGATCACAAGTCGGGACTGTAGCTGTTTACAATAGGTATGAATTACATGTCACCTTAGTGAGCAATCAATGGGCTATAATCCCAGTACTATTTGTGGTCGCCTGTAGGATGTGACTAATTCAACACATCCTTGATCGTGTTCTACCGACTGTTATATGTGGCAGTGCGCTGTGTCACAGGCAAGACAGGTGAACAGGATTATAACATATTTGAAGTCCGCATTTTATCCACTCAAAGCCATTGCACGAGGTTAATATGCAGTTATACAATACAATGAGTAGTAATATATATATATATAACCATTATGCTTCATTTTGATTTTCACTAAACGAATCCCCTTTTTAAATATCTTGTACATTTTGAGAAATCTCTGTTACTTCTTGCTATTATATTGTTCGTTCGTCGTTTCATACATTATTGTCTATTATCAAGATATTGATAATACTGCATTTTTGAAAATCTTCGCGGGAGATAAATTTACTTGGCGAGTATCATCGATGAAGCAGAAGACGCTTACTCTTCATGTCTTTATCTACTTGTATATTTTCAGGAGGCTACGTATAAATAATTCTTTTGTTCATATTTTGTCCTAGTTTGATTGAATTTGAGTTTGGATTATGATTATGTTGGCGTGTTGGTGTTTGTTTGTTGTTTTTGTCCTAGTTTTATTGAATTTGAGTCTGGATTATGATTATGTTGGCGTGTTGGTGTTTGTTGTTTTTGTCCTAGTTTTATTGAATTTGAGTTTGGATTATGATTATGTTGGCGTGTTGGTGTTTGTTTGTTGTTTCTGCCCTAGTTTTATTGAATTTGAGTTTGGATTATGATTATGTTGGCGTGTTGGTGTTTGTTTGTTGTTTTTGTCCTAGTTTTATTGAATATGAGTTTTTATTATGATTATGTTGGCGTGTTGGTGTTTGTTTGTTGTTTTTGTCCTAGTTTTATTGAATATGAGTTTTTATTATGATTATGTTGGCGTGTTGGTGTTTGTTGTTTTTGTCCTAGTTTTATTGAATTTGAGTTTGGATTATGATTATGTTGGCGTGTTGGTGTTTGTTTGTTGTTTTTGTCCTAGTTTTATTGAATTTGAGTCTGGATTATGATTATGTTGGCGTGTTGGTGTTTGTTTGTTGTTTTTGTCCTAGTTTTATTGAATTTGAGTTTGGATTATGATTATGTTGGCGTGTTGGTGTTTGTTTGTTGTTTTTGTCCTAGTTTTATTGAATATGAGTTTTTATTATGATTATGTTGGCGTGTTGGTGTTTGTTGTTTTTGTCCTAGTTTTATTGAATTTGAGTTTGGATTATGATTATGTTGGCGTGTTGGTGTTTGTTTGTTGTTTTTGTCCTAGTTTTATTGAATTTGAGTCTGGATTATGATTATGTTGGCGTGTTGGTGTTTGTTTGTTGTTTCTGCCCTAGTTTTATTGAATTTGAGTTTGGATTATGATTATGTTGGCGTGTTGGTGTTTGTTGTTTTTGTCCTAGTTTTATTGAATTTGAGTTTGGATTATGATTATGTTGATTATGATTATGTTGGTGTTTGTTTGTTTGTTGTTTTTGTCCTAGTTTTATTGAATTTGAGTCTGGATTATGATTATGTTGGCGTGTTGGGGTTTGTTTGTTGTTTCTGCCCTAGTTTTATTGAATTTGAGTCTGGATTATGATTATGTTGACGTGTTGGTGTTTGTTGTTTTTGTCCTAGTTTTATTGAATTTGAGTTTGGATTATGATTATGTTGGCGTGTTGGTGTTTGTTGTTTTTGTCCTAGTTTTATTGAATATGAGTTTGGATTATGATTATGTTGACGTGTTAGCATTTTTGTTCTTTTTATTTTACAATATCTGCGAACATTATACAGACATTACCTATATAAAATACAAATATCTATATTATAATCCTATGGGAACTGATACTACATTCTTGTGTTTAGTGTGGTTTATCTTTCGTACACTTGAATGTGTCATTGTACGAAATACGTACGCTGTAAAATTAAACTATGTTAGATCAAATAAAGCTATTTTTAAAATGGAAGAAAAAACAATTAAACTGATACCACATCTGTATAAAATTGGACTGAAATGAACTCAAGACATCTATGAATTAAATACTTGTTGTTTTAATTGACAGGTTGTGATGTATATATGTATTTATATAAAGGAATCATTAAACACCTGATAATGATGTATAAGATTTGATATACATGATATATTAGATAAAACAGTCAGGAGTGGTAAGATAATTTATTTCCATTAACTATTAAATGACCTGTGACCATTGTCCTTTAAAGTCGTTGACCTAAGGTATGTTCTGGTTACCATGACCACCATTAAACCAATTACAATCAATCTATTATTTTCTATTTTCTGGTGTAGACGTTTATAGATCTAGAATTTTTATTTATCTGTATGTAAATGGATAAACATTTACGTCATCATTTGTCCGAATATAAGCTATAAAGACTCATTATCCGAGTTTAGTTATATTGGCAGGTGGACAACCTCTTAATGACTTTGTTTCTGTCTTATTTGACTGATGGGGATAACTGAAGTGAAAACATCCGACATTGTTAACAAATCTCCCTGTCTACCTCATTACAATGATACTAATTAGTACCATGTTTATGTTAATGTTGACAAACCGTATTTGTTTACAACTGACGATGGATGGCAGATTTAATACCTCAGACCACGTGACCTTGCATTTTAATGTATTACTTTGTTTTTCATGGATGAAGACATGAGTAGTCACTGACCGAAATTTTTATCACTACAAATAAAGTAAATAAAATGCACATAAAAATCAAATATGAAATTGCTGAAAGGATACAGTGGTTAGTTATATACACTTGTGTTTGATTGTTCTTCAAAAAATATTTGAAATTAAAAAAAAATTAATAACGACGCTAATGCACTTGCACATCTAGACTTTAACCTAAAATCGTTAAAATAAGCAAACAAAAAGCATAAATCATTATACTTTTGAAATTATGAATACTACTGGCGGTGTTGTAAAATAACGCTGTAGTTTAAGTACATTTCCGAGGATTCCAGATATTTACACCCGGAAGGCCTCATACCTCTCAAATACCTGTATTTAGCCCTAGTGTATCATGCGACTCCAGAGTAGTTGCGGCATTTCTACTCGTCAATGTGTCTATCTGGCAGTATCGTTATGTATAATAACTTATTAATCATGGACTCCTTTATAAGTCCTGTGTGGATGTTTAAGTTTACTTTTATATTTGATCAATTTTAGGTTTTCTCAGTCACCACAAAGATTACAACAGTTTAGGTTCGTAACATCACTGATGAATCCTAGAAGGACGAAACATCTGGACTTTTTATGCGTGAATATATTACGATGTCGTGCATGATAACAGCAAAGTCTGGATGTAACTTTCGGATTAGTAATATTTTGCCACATTTATCGGACAGGTTCTCTTATTTATCGCTCCCGTCAGTTTATTATGTTACTGACCAGTAGTATTGCTCTCTGTATGGTGCAACACATCTGCTAGGAATGGAGGTCGACAGAAAGCGATGCCAAATTGATGACACAAATTAAGATGCATAAAGGTGCATATGTTATTATGAAGGTCAGGTATGATACACGCGATAAAGTGGAGAACGAAATATCTAAAAAAAGGAAGTATTCATAAAACACGTGTCTCAATACTTCTGTTTCACAGACCAAGGAACACTGTTAGAACAATGGTACAAAGACACACATTTACACCTTTAATTACAATACTTCTGTTACACAGACCAAGGAACACTGTTAGAACAATTGTACAAAGATACACATTTACACCTTTAATTACAATACTTCTGTTACACAGACCAAGGAACACTGACAGAACAATTGTACAAAGATACACATTTACACCTTTAATTACAATACTTCTGTTACACAGACCAAGGAACACTGACAGAACAATTGTACAAAGATACACATTAACACCTTTAATTACAATACTTCTGTTACACAGACCAAGGAACACTGTTAGAACAATGGTACAAAGACACATATTTACACCTTTAATTACAATACTTCTGTTACACAGACCAAGGAACACTGTTAGAACAATGGTACAAAGGCACACATTAACACCTTTAGTTACAATACTTCTGTTACACAGACCAAGGAACACTGTTAGAACAATTGTACAAAGATACACATTTACACCTTTGACAGAACAATTACACATACCTTCTACTTCTGTTACACAGACCAAGGAACACTGTTAGAACAATGGTACAAAGACACACATTTACACCTTTAATTACAATACTTCTGTTACACAGACCAAGGAACACTGTTAGAACAATGGTACAAAGACACACATTTACACCTTTAATTACAATACTTCTGTTACACAGACCAAGGAACACTGTTAGAACAATTGTACAAAAACAAACATTAACACCTTTCACTTCAAATTTAGTTTGATACAGCAAACCGAAACAATAAAAAACTACATAACATGGCTATTTCGTCCTTCTATGATGTTAAAGGTCTATGTCTTGAAACCTAGGAGGCCACGGAGAAAAATCTCAAGTCTAAATCTAAGCGGGTGACGTTCTCTTACCCTATAATTTAAGGAATTTCGTAGTTTTGTTTATATCTCATAACTTTAGAACAACGTCAAGTACACGTATTAATCTGAATTATCCAGTATTGATATGAAGAACATTGAATTAAGATATTATTCCAAGTACCAATCTTTATCTTAAACCTATGAAATAATTCAATACATAGGGTTATGAATAACAATTACTAAAACTGAAGGAAAAAATACAACACAACACGATTAGTATGCATGTTGTGTTAATAGACATGGCAGCATCTAGAGACATGTCACGATCATGTCTACAGAGGAAATGGGATGATCCATTTTCTATTTGTATAGCTCTTGATTCTTACGAAAATAAGCAGGAAGAACAAAAATTAAAGAATGAATGTGTATAGCACGCTCGTGCTGTCTGATTGATAACGTAAAAGAAATTCTCAAATAATGCGGAGAGCCCTAAATATAATTGCCACATTTGAATTTCTGGCTTTGTGACGTACAAGGGGAATTGCTTAAGCATCACGAAAACAAAACTTATTATTTAACCAACTTAGACGAATTATACTACATAACATGAAGTAGCGACCACAACATATTGGAACATAAAAAGGCTTGATAAACGACACTTCGATGTAAATTGTTAAATATTATTGTTAACAGGCTTAACATATGTTTTAACAGGCTATATATGTCATACCATATCGTTAGAATATATACCTAAAAACGAACACCATGGCACAATAAAAGGATAAGGTTAGGTGACAAATGTCAGAAATCGAAACAGAAAATGAAGAAATAATCCCTGAAAGTATATAAAATACTTAAACAGTATATAAAAAACACTGCGTCAACACGAGGTAAAAGGAGAAAGTATTTAAAATAAACAAATGATAAAAGAACCTTTCAAATAAATTTTGGCAGAATTAGCGACCCTTGTCTGTAAACCAAACGCTCTGGATTGTATTGGAGACAAATCAAGTATATATATTGCGGTGTTACAGATAAGATACATATAAAATTTATCCTCTGCAGAATCGGCTTTTGAATGGGTTAAAATATGGAAATAAATGTTATTTTCAATTCATAACACTGTTATTTTGGATAACACGGGGAAAATGATATGCTGTTATAAAAAATGCGTACGATGTAAATAAGTCGTGTTTTCTTTCAGAGAAAAAAGGAGAAAATTGTAATTTTAAGTCAAGGTAGAAACAATTAGAAACAATTGCACTTACCGTGTTAACTAATGCATCCGAGAATTCACACAATGCACAAAAAACACCGAAAAATAGGAAAAGGGGAAGAATAAGATTCATCCTGAGGGGTAGAGAGACCGAAGTGTTACACGGATTCGCCAACACCTGAAGCCGATATGCTTACTGGATGATTTTGTTGTAATCTTTTATTCATTGATGAGAGTAACTTCTTTATTCCGCCAATACAATCGCATATTGGAATCACGTGCTAAACCAGGTTACTTACCGGAAGTATTGTATTGATAATTATGAAGTGCGCATGCCCCATTGTAGGATGATAATAAATCCAACATGATTACTTTATGCCCTAGTAGCTGTGACAATTGTTTATCGTCCATCACACTCGGCAGATGTGTCAGAATGGTTGTTAAGGTAAGACAAATGGCCACTTTCTAGCTGATGCATAATTATTGTTCTTTGTCAATCATAGCGAGTCCGATATATCTCAGTGACCTGGTTTAATAAAAAGCAAGTCCATAATCAATTTTAATTAAATAACGTGTCATTTTTTTCGGTTGCTTTTTGTTGCTTTTTTATAAAACATCTTTTATTTTATCCTAAAATATAGCCGGAAACAGTGTTCCTCTAACTATTAACATTTTTTTTATCCCAGCGCTTGTCTCTATACCACGTGCTAGATTTTGTTCTTACGGTGTGATAGTTTAAAGGAGAAACACAGACATAACATCGGTCACATAACTAGGGACATAGTCACAACATCGGCTACATAACTAGGGACATGGGCACAACATCGGCCACAAAACTAGGGACATAGACACAACATCGTCCACATAACTAGGGACATAGACACAACATCGGCCACATAACTAGGGACATAGACACAACATCGCCCACATAATGAGGGACATAGACACAACATCGGCTACATAACTAGGGACATGGACACAACATCGCCCACATAACTAGGGACATAGACACAACATCGCCCACATAACTAGGGACATAGACACAACATCGGCCACATAACTAGGGACATAGACACAACATCGCCCATATAACAAGGGACATAGACACAACATCGCCCACATAACTAGGGACATAGACACAACATTGGCCACATAGATAGGGACATAGACACAACATCGGCCACATAACTAGGGACATAGACACAACATTGCCCACATAACTAGGGACATAGACACAACATCGGCCATATAACTAGGGATATAGACACAACATTGTATCTAATACAGAACAACATACATTCATTTCAAACTGAATTCAAAATCAAAATAAACGAAACAAGAGCAACATATGAGTAGAAGAATGATCATTGAAAAGTAGATAAACAGCTGGAAATATGAGATATGGACTCTAGATTGATTGATTGACAACTTTAAGTTAGTTGCAAATAGTTAATTCCTACCCATGCTAAAGTCAAACATGGCCGCCCTGAGGTGCTGGTACCTTATAGAGTACGGGAGAATTTAGCTCAGAATTAGATAAAATCTACAGATTAAATCATTTCTTGTTTTGGTCCACGTGCTCTGTATTTCGTCCAAGTCCCTACTCGAATACAATTTCTCCTCCTTAAAGAAAAAAGTAAAAGACAGCTTATTGTTACAAGTCTGACAAGAGTTATCACTTTAGGTGTCTTTGTTAATACTGTATGAAACTAATATTATATGTTTTTACTGTGCGATGTGGATAGTTTTATCACGGTTTTTATATGCTGCATTACTTTCATACTTAATTTTGAACAACTATCAACATTAACGGGTGTGCTCTCCGTTATTACAAGAAAGATATTTTTGCAGGATCTCTGAGTTTTCTGGTAGGAACGAAAGCTGGTAGACTTACAGTCTCGAGGTATTCGGTATCCTTTCGAAAAGTGACACTGATCCGAATATACACCTGTATTTGACGCTGTTCTGGTTCTAACCGATATGCGTCTATCAAACACTAATTGATTTATGAGCTCATACACTTCCAAATCTACATATTTGCATTTGTTTCGGTCACTTTTGACTTACTTTAGCAGCCTCCTAGGTTTCACTTTCAGATATATTGATGACGTCTCGACTGTAATTAACAAATTATTAATTGACCGTATACACCAATTAAAATTGTAACTTTATGATAGACTCTTTTACATAAGCCGCTAAACTCTTTTCCAACAAGCGGTGTTGTAACCGTGATGATTTCAAGTTCCCTGTTGTCTATGTTGGCAACTGACAAACTCACAATACAAACTTTTGCACGATGCAAACTGAAGACGATCACGGGGAAGTATTACAGTCGCCATAAGGATCTCGTCGTGAAATATTACATTTCTTTGTGCGATATGAAGCTAGAAGTATTTTTTGCCCATTAGTGTCCTCGTAATTCCGTTGTTACAAAAGATGCTCACCTTTCCTTAACACCTAGTTTCATAACTTGTATTTCTAAAGGAGTCTTCATGTAAATCTTTTTATGTATACTCCTCATACAGAAAACTAAAAGATTAGTATGAATTGAAAATGGCCACCATAAGGTGACAGGTTTATTAGAAATTATAGGAAACATATGTAACTTTTAACAAGATACATAAAAGTATTACAAAAAATACAGTATTTAGATAATTCTCACACTTAATATAAATGAGGGGGTTCGATAGAACAACGCCTCAAAGTGGAAAAATTACTGTGTAAATGAAATGTCGGTATGTTCGATGTGTTTTTTCAACAGTAGGCCCTTAGCATCACTGACAGACAAGTCCTAGACGGTGGAAACAACTATGCGATACAGTTTCATCCATTGTTAGGATCTTCTGAAAGTGATTTTAAATTTGTATTCAAAGGTGCCAATAAAAGACACGTTGTCTTTCGTACAACACTCTTATGTACCTGTGTCTTGTGTACAACATTCTTGTCTACCCGTGTCTTGTGTACAACATTCTTGTCTACCCGTGTCTTGTGTACAACAGTCTTATCTACCCGTGTCTTGTGTACAACATTCTTATCTACCCGTGTCTTGTGTACAAAATCCTTATCTACCCGTGTCTTTTGTACAACATTCTTGTCTACCCGTGTCTTGTGTACAACATTCTTATCTACCCGTGTCTTGTGAATAACATTCTTATCTACCCTTGTCTTGTGAATAACATTCTTATCTACCCGTGCCTTGTGTACAACATTCTTATCTACCCTTGTCTTGTGAATAACATTCTTATCTACCCGTGCCTTGTGGACAACATTCTTAGTTACATGTGTCTTTTGTATAACATTCTCATCTACCCGTGTATTGTGTATAACATTCTTATCTACCCTTGTCTTGTGAATAACATTCTTATCTACCCTTGTCTTGTGAATAACATTCTTATCTACCCGTGTCTTGTGAACAACATTCTTATCAACCCGTGTCTTGTGTACAACATTCTTATCTACCCGTGTCTTGTGTACAAAATCCTTATCTACCTGTGTCTTGTGTACAGCATTCTTATCAAACCGTCTTTTGTACAACATTCTTATCTACCCTTGTCTTGTGAATAACATTCTTATCTACCCTTGTCTTGTGAATAACATTCTTATCTACCCGTGCCTTGTGTACAACATTCTTATCTACCCGTGTCTTGTGTATAACATTCTTATCTACCCGTGCCTTGTGGACAACATTTTTAGTTACATGTGTCTTTTGTTTAACATTCTCATCTACCCGTGTATTGTGTACAACATTCTTATCAACCCGTGTCTTGTGTACAGCATTCTTATCTACCCGTGTCTTGTGAACAACATTCTTATCTACCCGTGTCTTTTGTATAACATTCTTATCAACCCGTGTCTTGTGTACAACATTCTTATCTACCCGTGTCTTGTGTACAACATTCTTATCTACCCGTGTCTTGTGTACAACATTCTTATCTACCCGTGTCTTGTGTACAACATTCTTATCTACCCGTGTCTTGTGTACAACATTCTTATCTACCCGTGTCTTGTGTACAGCATTCTTATCTACCCGTGTCTTGTGTGCAACATTCTTGTCTACTTTTACTTTATAGTTTTGTAATAGAAAGGAGTAATGGAAAACACCCTGCCACCGCTGGGGTTCGAACTAGCGACATGCGGCCTCTAGCCGGACATCCTTCCGCTCGACTTAAGATAAATTCCCACTAGCCGATGCTAGTAAGACGACCTGTACTTTAAACTTCAACAGTACTGGCAGTATAATTTATATATTGTTATATAAATAGTTTCTATACGTTTTAAAGTAAGTATTGTGTATATACACCTAGAATGACAGAAGCTATTTGTAGGTATATATAATGTTACGATACTATGTCACCAAGTATTACGGTCACCACAAGGTTCTACTTAAAATAGAAATTTATATTGGAGAACCATGACCTTAGGTGCCAATAGATGATATAGTATGATGCATGTTGTGGTTCTATTTGATGAAAGAAATCTATTGTTTGTGTGTAGGAGTTCTGTTTATGATAGTTCATTTATGTGCAAAAGTAACACACATAGGTAACATATAGGCACCAGGTCACGAACATTGGAATCTATTCTGATATTTTCACACGTTTTGTGATCGACGCAGGTTTGTGGACAATGTCTTGAATCAAGACAGGTATGATGAAACATAATAATAGATTAGTGCCAGCTTATAATGGCGAATTGCGGTATTAACATGAATTATCTGAAAATCCTCACATCCATTGTCATATTGTATAGAAATTATCAATTACATATCGTATCAAATCAACATCATCAGCTCATCTGATCAATACGATATGACATAGCATAGTTCAGTAGGAAATGTCTATGTTGAAAGGTGCAATCCAATTATGGTTCTGTTTCACAATCCATTTAGACCTATCGCAGAGGAATATTGCCTGATATGCATCACACAACATGTATGCGGATATAATGACAATTTTCATTTTGCCGTAACCTGTTTATGACGATTTGATTCATTAACCAGTGACATAGTTCATGATATACACAGTTAACTGACTTTATCAGATAAATGAAAGTGACGACATTTGTTAGTTATATGGTTAATGTCCTAACCCATCAAGATTTTGACCTTTCTTTCGATCCATTTTGGGTATCCTC